TGGGTGGGGGCCGCCGGCTTTCTTGGAAACCTCTTCCATGGCTTTTGCCTTGCATCCCCGCCATTGCCGTGCTGCTTCGGGCACTGCTGCGGCTCAGACAGAAGCGTCTGGCCGAGGGCCGCAGCGAAGCAAGCCACTCGCAGGTCGGAGCACGGCGGCTGCCAGCATCTTGGTTACGCCACGTCGGGAGAGAGCACGTCGACAGCAAAGGTCAGAAGCATTTTTATTCTCAGCTCTTCCATCTCTGAAAGCTTCCTGAAAACTGCTGGAGACCAGAGGTTCTACATCTGCTGCTTGCGAGGATCTCCTGTCAGAACTATCCGGTGTGTTTCCATCAGCAATTCCTCACGGATTACATGGGCTCCAAGAAAGACTCTGGTTGTTCTTCTGTGATGAAGATTATCTGCTGGAACCTCTGACTCATCCCCCCCATAATTCTACCTAACCAGCGTTGGGATCAGTTTGGAAACACAACCCGAGAGCGTTGCAGGCAGGGTTATTGCTGCTTTATCTGTGTCTCTCCTCTTGCTGTGTCTCTGGTGGAAAGGACGCTTGTCCGCAGCCCCTCACCCAGGGAGGCCCCAGGTTATTCAGTCTGGCTCCCGACGCCTGGACACCGATCTCTGCAGCTCGAGATGGCGTTCGCAGTCTTGTTTCCACCAGCGTTGTTGGGGTCTGTAAGACAACCTGCCCAAGGCGTTGCACCGACTGCTTGCCCGTCCCCGTGGCGGGTATGTGTTGTTGTCCCAGCAAACGTGTCTGTGTCCCACTTAAATGTCAGGGCTTGACTGGGAGCAGGTTCCAGCACACGGACCCAGCCAAAAGGCCATAATCGGTGAATTCCTCCAGCTGAAGTTTGTAAATTATGTAACAATGGAAATTTGGCATTTTCTGTGGTTCCTGCGTGCTTGAGTCCCAGAGACTTCTGGAAAGAATTTCATGGTAAAATTATTAATAATAATCTTGCAGCTTTTTGTTTTATTTTTACAAGAAATCACTGGATTTTTTTCAGGATTACCATGTTTTGAATGCTGGAGGCCAGTGTGATGTCTGCAACGTATTAATAAACTGTTATTGGATATTTCTGCACCACAGAGCAGCATGGGCAGAAGGCAAGGACCCCTTTCTTTTTTCTGCTTCTCTTCCCCAAGGCATGGGTCCAATTCATCTAAACGAAATCGACTGTACGGGCTTCGAAAAATCGGTCACGGACTGCAAGTTCAACACGGAGTCGCAGGGCTGTAACCATGAAGAAGACGCTGCTGTGAGGTGCAACGTTCCAGCGATGGGCTTCCAGAATCAGGTGAGGGGCCAAGTGAGCGTGGGGAGGTGTCTTCCTCCTGGAGCATCGTCTGCCCTCCCTCACTGCACAGTGCAGGGCGTCGGGGTGGGAATCGTTTTGCCTAAGCCGTGCCTGTCCAATTTAGATTTTAACATCTCCATTGTGTTGGACAGGAGGGCAAATAAGGATGATGCTCCCTTTTTGTACGGAGTTTTGAGCTCCTCCCAGTATGTGACAGGGGTTGTGAATGAGTGAAGGGGCCCCTTCAGCTGCAACCTGTGCACTCCAGTGGCCCTGTAAAGCTGGTGCATGTTCCCGTCGTGGTGGCATCTTGGCTGGGTCACAGAATCACAGAATAGTAGGGGTTGGAAGGGACCTCTGTGGGTCAGCTAGTCCAACCCCCCTGCC